ACCGCTGCTACGCAGGACGTCGCTCAGCCCTCGCTGCCTCCAACTCGCCCTCATCCTTCGGGTTGACGGCCACGTGGATGACCTCGCCTTCGGCGTCCTTGACGAGCTTTTTGGTCTGGTCCAAATGCTCCAGCAAGCGTATGCACATGCCCACGCGCAGGGGTAGCATCCCGTGCACGCTGCCAATTTCACCAGGGCTGACGCAGTTGACCAACTTCGCGGCCATGTGGGGGACGGCGAGGTCGAATCTGAGTTTGCGTAACACGTCACTCCGCTGAACCCCCAGCAGCTCTCGAAACTGGCGACAGTTGGCAACAGTTTCGAAGATCGCAGCCCCACAAGGATGGCGAGGTCGAGTCTGAGTCTGCACAGCACGTCACTCCGCTGCACCCCCAGCAGCCTTTGAAAATGGCGACAATTTCGCAGATCGCACCCCCACAAGAATGGCGAGGTCGAATCTGAGTCTGCGTAGCTCGTCGCTCCGCTGGACCCCCGAACAGCCCTCGAAAGTGACGACAGTTTCGCAAATCAAAGCCCCACTGGGATGGTGAGGTCGAATCTGAATCTGCGCAGCACGTCACTCCGCTGGACCCCCCAGCAGCCCTCGAATGTGACGAAAGTTTCGCAGATCGCACCCCTACAAGGATGGCGAGGTCGAATCTGGATCTGCGTAAAACGTCGCTCCGCTTAGCCCCCAGCAGCACTCGAAAGTGGCGGCAATTTCGCAGATCGCACCCCCACAAGGATGGCGAGGTCTAATCTGAATCTACGTAGCTCGTCGCTCCGCTGGAACTCCCAGCAGCCCTCGAAAATGGACACAGTTTCGCAAATCGCACCCCCACCGGGATGGAGAAGTCTTATCTGGGTCCGCGTAGCACATCACTCCGCTGGAGCCCCCCCCGCTGCCCTCGAAAATGGCAAGGTCGAATGTGAGTCTGCGTAGGACGTCACTCCGCCGGACCCCCCAGCAGCCCTCGAAACTGGCGACAGTTTCGCAGATCGCAACCTCACAGGGATGGCGAGGTCGAATCTGAATTTGCATGGCACGTCACTCCGCTGGATCCCCCAGCAGCGCTCGAAACTGGTGACAGTTTCGCAAATCGCAGCCCCACAGGGATGGCGATGTCTAGTCTGAGTCTGCACAGCACGTCACTCCGCTGGACCCCCCAGCAGCCCAGGCAGGAGGCAAGCTGGCACGCAGGAAGGAACGATGTGAGAGACAGGAGAAAAGGGGAGGGGGAGCGGAAGGGTGTGCGGTCACAGTGCTCTATTCAAAACGAGAACCCAACACAGGAGGGTTCGGAAATAGACACACATCCCAGGACTCCCATATCTCCCATATTTCTTGGAGTTTCGTTCCCCCCCCCCATGTTTTCCCAAGTTCTCTTTGGAATCGACGATGATTTATGCCTGCGTTGTTCTTTCCTCCTGATCCTCGTCCTCCGCCCAAACTAATCCCACCAGCCCTTTGGGGCGTGAGTGGTTTCGAGAGGTTCCTCTTCCGGCCCTCATCCTCTCCGTTCGGGGAAGGGCATGTCCCTCCCCTCTGCCCCCCCCCTCCCCTGGACCTGGGCAGAGGGTTCTGGGGCCGATTGGAGCGTCCAAGAAGGCCTCGGCGAAAAGGCACACATCACTTACTCCACCAAGGTGTTGGGCCGATGTTGGCCGCCTGGGGAGGGGGGGAGGCCCCCCCCATTCCCCGGTTGAGCTCCTCCAAGATGGCCCACAGATGGCCCCCAAGGCTCCCAACCTGCCCGAGAGGGCCCCAAGGTGCGCCGTGGAGGCCAAGATGCCCCAAAGAGGCCCCAACGAGGCTCCAAGAAACCCCCAAGAGGCTCCCCCAAAGCACCCAAGACGCTCCAAGAGGCCCTCGGAACCGTCAAAAGGCCCCCAAGACGTCCCAAGAGGACTTCAAGAAGCTCTCAAAAGACATCCGAAGAGACACCGAGAGGTATCCAAGAGGCCTCTCGCCATTCTGCTCGCCCTCCTCCTTCTCCCCCTCCTCCTCCTCTTCCTCCTCCTCCCCTTTCTCCTCCTCTGCCGCATCCGCCTACTCCTCCTAGTCCCTCCTCCGTCCTCCCCTCCATCCCCGTCCCCCTCCTCCCCCTCATTCAACATCCTCCACCTCTTGGGGTATGACGGCTTCCTCACCCCCTCACTCTCACGTATCCCGCTCCATGCTCCTCAACATCCCAGATCAGGGCAGCTCGCCTGGGCATTGTTTCTGGATGGTTTGATGGGGTTATGCGAAGTTTCTAGAATATGGAGTTGCTTCGCAACGTCGGTGTGGTCGTCTGGCTCCAGGGCCATCCGAAAACTGTCCAGGATGAAACACTGGCTCCACATGGCAGGGATTGGGTCTTCCAAGATCCCGTACAGAAAGCGCCACGATGTCGGAGGTACGGGGAAGGGTCGGAAAGGGTTGGGGCTCGATGCTCGAGGGTCGGGGGTCGAGGTTTTGTGGGGTGTGGGAGTCTTTTCAGGCCTCTGGGGTCCTCACGGGGCCCTCTGGGAGGCCTCAGTGGGGGTCATCCAGAGACCTCTGGAGACCCCACGAGGCGGATGTCGACGTCGGTCGGTCGTCGTCGTTGTCAAAGTCGTCATCGTATCGTCGCCAACGTCAATGTCACTGGCACCAGCGTCAACGATTGCCCTTCGTCCCTGAGGCCCACGAGGAGGAAGGAGGGGGGCTCCAGGGGCCTCCAGAGACCTCTGGAAGCGGAAGTCGACGACAGCCGCCAGCGTCGACGGCACCGTTTGCGTCGGCGTCGTCGTCGGCGGCGGCGACGGCGCCGTCGCCGTCGGCGGCCGCCGTCGTCGTCGTCGTCGTCGTCGTCAGCAGCAGCAGCAGCAGCAGCAGCGGCAGAAGCGTCGTCGTCGTCGTCGGCAGCAGCAACAGCGTCGCGGCCCAGCCGTCGCCGTCGCCGACGTCAACGGCATTAGCGTCAACGAAGGCCCCTGTCCCCGGCCAGGGTCTAGGAAGGACGATGTTTCGTCGCTTGATGTAAATTCGGCGCTCCTGGGGGTCTCTCGCGGCCACTGCCAGCGCAGCTCGAGCAATTAGCCAGGATCTGTTTGCTAGGAGTCCAGGACTGATTCTGAGCGAAAGCAGGTGGTCCGAACCAGACCTCTAGGCGATTGAAGAACCGCACCCCTCCCCCATCCATTTTCCATCCCTGTATACTAATCCCCAGACCCCCGATGTCATGAATTGATCATGCCGTCGGCAGTGTTTTCCCCCGAACTGTTTTCTGACGGCCCCGAGGCCTGGCAAGGTCCCCCAGAGGCCGAACTTGGCGAAAAACATCACGTCGCGAGTTTTTCATAGAAGAAGAAAAACAACACCATAAACATAAACTTATCGCGCTCCGCGCGGATTTCTTGGATCTGCGCTGGACCCCCCCTCCCTGGCGAGCGGAGCGCGCCAGGTGTGGCGCCCGAGGCGCCGCCAGGGGGGGACCCAGCGCAGATCCAAGAAATCCGCGCGGAGGAGGAGGAGGAGGAGGAGGAGGAGGAGGAGGAGGAGGAGGAGGAGGAGGAGGAGGAGGAGGAGGAGGAGGAGGAGGAGGGAGGAGGAGGAGGGAGGAGGAGGAGGGGGAGGCGGAGGAGGAGGAGGGAGGAGGAGCCTGGGTCGAGGCCTGGGCCGCCCAACCCTTCGCGGGTCGAGCGCACCGCGGGGAGCGCGGCTGTCTTCGCGCCCCCCGTGGGTGATCCTGCGCCCCCGGGCCTCGAGTGGCAAAACCTCTGAGGCTGAGGATGCAGTCGGGCTCGGTTGGAGGGGACACGCGAGAGGACACGAGACCCTTCCGAGGGCCACGCTGCCGCAGAAATGCGGGAGGCGTGCGTCGCAAGACACAGGACACGGTACCCCTGATCTGGCGGGGTCGACCTGCCGACCCGGGCCGCGAACACGGACATAAACATAAAAGCTCGGAGGTCCGCGCGGATGTCTGGGATCCGCGCTGGCGGCGCCTCGCCCTGGCGCGCCCCGCGCGCCAGGGAAGGGGGGTCCAGCGCGGATCCCAGACATCCGCGCGGACCTCCGAGGTGTTGTGTTTATGTCATTGCTCGTTCCCCGTACTTCGAGGCCGAGAAGACGGATCTCACGCCAAGCGTTTTCATAAGCAGTTACTGGCCCAGGTCCAGATGCACGAGCGCTCTACGGAAAGAAAAGGCTCAACGAAAACGCCCGGGGCCTAGTCCAGATGATTGATTGTCTCTGACGAGATCTGGAGTCCAAGAAGGTGGATGTTTTTTCGTAAGATTTCTGATCGGTGTAGATCTCCCTCTGCCTCATCCCAGCCCTCTCTGATCGCAAACTTTCTTGCTCCCTGTGCCCGGATACTGCCGTGCGCAAGGCGCCCCAACACCCCCAAGGTGCGCCTCCTGGTCGTCTGAGGCGAGTCGTGCCTGGAGCTCCAGTTCGATATCGCGGCAGAGAAGGCGTCTGCCTCGAAGCTGGCTTCGCTGTCCTTTGCCGAGGGGCGGGGGGGTCTGGGAGGAACGGCACCAAACCCGGTGTCGCAAGTCGCTAACTGATCTGCCAGTCGTGCTCATGCCTGAATCCTCTTGCTCGTAGGTCGCTCTTGGCCCCTGTTGGAGAAGCTGAATCTGAAGGATATCCAACCCTGGATCATCGATGCCCCAAGAGAAGTGTGTGCAAGGAGGGAGGGGGAGCAGCGGAGGGAGGCGCCTGTCAGCGGCACAAAGAGGAGGTCGGCTCACGAAGCTGACCGGAACGAAAACTTGGAGCCGGGATCCAACCTTCCGCGAGAGCTCAAGCGATGAAGCCGCGACGAGGCGTATGCGGAAGAGCCTTCCCCTCCAACCCGCCTGCTCGCCAGCGCAAAGAGGCCCATGCCAGCCTGGGCGTCCTACTAATTTGATTCAAGGCGCCGCCGGTTCCCGTCACCCCACCCCGCGGCAGAGGACGCGGGCTCCGGCCGCCGTGGCGCGGCAGCGAAGGACTCCAGGCAGTGCGGCCGCATCCCCGTCGCGGGTCAATCCTGCTTGCTCTGGACCTTCCTGTGCATTTCGCACAGAAAGTCAATGTAGCACGGCTCGCTGGAGACCCGGTCCTCGCAGAACATGCTCAGCAGGCGTGGCTCCTCAGGGGACCCTGGCAGCACGAAGGACAGGGTCAGCCAAGGTAGCCTGTTCCTCTCCTTCCGTATCTGTTGGACGATGGCCAACATCCTGTGCACGTCTTCGCTCAGCTCTTCGGCCACGAAAGCCGCGGGCACGTGGGCCACGTTGTCCACGTTGAACACGTCCTGCAAGTTCTCCAGGGACACCTCTGGGCGCACGTAGATGTACAGCCGCTGACCATTGTCAATGAGGTAGATGCGGTCGGATGACAGCTTATCGCTGGAGCAAGCTATGGGCGGTGGCAAGTACACGTTGTCGGCCACCCCAGTGCGCAAGCCCGCCCTCTCCGGCAGGGGCAGTAATTGGTACACGCGAGGGTAGACCAGCAGCGACGTCTGCGACAGCGGTAGACCCAACATCCGCACCAAGAAGGTCAGCCGCTCGTCTACACGGATGTCGGAGCCCGATCTGAACGCGGCCAGCTTCCTTATAGAGCCCACGAAGAGCGGCAGCAGCTTGAGCGACTCTGGCAAGACCAGCTGCCCCGCGGACGTCATGGACGCGCAGTTCACCCGGTAGGCGTGGAGCATGTCCACGCACGACTTCGACATCTTCTCCTTGAAGGCCCCGTTGCCGCTCAGGGCGCCAAGGGCCGCCTGCTTGAGCAACAGGTTTGTGACACAGTCGATCTCCGTGTAGCGGAAGACGTTGCTCAGCGACGTGGTCACTGGCAGCGCCAACGTGTGCACGCGAAGCAATCGCCTGCCGGCCCTGGTCGTGTGGAGGCAGGCCACCTGCAAGAACACAGTCTTCTGACCCTCGATCCGCTCCGAGTGGACGATCACAAAGCTCGCCGTGGCGTCCACCGACATCCGCGACACGTGGAATGTGCTGGGGTCTATGACCTCCGGCTCCCAGGTGGCGAGCATGCTGTCCTAGAGGAAACAAACTAGATAAGCATAAACTTGCGACGGTCCGTGCGGACTTCTGGGATCCGCACTAGAACCCCCTCCCTGGGGCGGCGCCGGAAGCGCCGCCAATGGGTTCCACGCCGGAGGCGTGGATCGATCCAAGAACTCCGCGCGGAGCGCCGAAAATTCATGTGCATGCTGTTTTTCTTCTTCGATGTCCACCGCCAGGCCCTTGCTGCACCGGAGCCGGAACACGCAGCTGTACGCGCACGCCTGCACCGCGATCCTGGAGATGTCGTAGTGCAGCCGCTCCCCGTCGCGCACGGGGTCGAAGCCCGCCAGCATGCTGATCTCGCCGCCCGTCCGCCGCGGCAGGCACGTCAGCGACGCCGCATCGATGTACGCCCCCACGGCGGGGGCCAGGAAGACGCTGACAGCGACCCCGCGGCCGAGGCAGTCCGCGGCCAGCGCGTCGAAGAAGGGGCCCTGCTGCACGGTGAAGAGGCCCCCCGCCTCGGGCGCCGAGGACACCCGCATGCTCAGGTCGTCGCGGGGCCGAAGCGCGCCTGGGGGGAGAGAAGCGGCACGGACATACGGTGGAGGCCCGTCCACGAGACACCTTCCGCGAGGAGCCCAACCCTGCGACCCCAGGGCGCCCACCGACTTCTTGGTGGCGGGACCGTCCCGCCTGCCGTGGCAGAGCCATCGAACCCCAAGAGACCCAGGGCACCCTGGAGGCAAGCAGGGCGTCTCTTGGCATGGGCCCCCGTAGACTTCTGGAGGTCCGCGCGGGACTCTTGGATCGGCGCTGGATCCCCCTCCCTGGCGCGCTCCGCGCGCCAGGGAGCCTCTCCCGGGGCGCGCTCTGACCAGCACCTCGAGGCGAGTCCATGGAGAGCAACGAGAGGGGGGGATGGGCACAGAGGAAGCATCGGCCTGGAACATCGGCGATACTTCGCCGATGGACCGGCAAGAGGCCCCCGATGGTGAATCCGCACATGCCTGGACAGGTCGGGGCTATCGGGCCCAATCGGCGATGAATGGGCCACTGGGGGTCGATGCATCCCCCCTATGCCTATCTCCCCCATCGTTACCCCCAAGTTCAGCCGTGGCGACGAGGGCCTTCCAGGAG